CCCAGCCCCTCTTCCAGGATACCCAGCCCACCCAGCCCCTCTGCCAGGATTCCCAGCCCATTGGAGAATTGAGCAGTTTTGAACTGTGCCTTCTGTGGTCTTTAGATGGAATGCTGTTTTCTCTAGTGGCTTTCTGCTCTTTGTCTTTTAACTCTCTTACCGTTTTCCAGATGAGTTCCCTGTTCCTCCCTTGGAACTTTTCCTTTGGGTCCGCATGCCTCCCCTGAGTCTTCCAGTGGGAACCAAATTGTCTATTAAATGTCATGTTCATTTCCCAAATTCATCTAGGACTAGTAGTTTACTTTAAAACTACGGAGATTAAAGTTCTCTGGGCATTGATTTTCACCCTGGTCGCTGAGCGGGGAGGTGTACCCTTGGTGAGCTCTTGGCAGAGGACGCTGTTTGAAATGTGCCCAGTGTTATATTAGAAAGCCCTTTTGAGGGAAAGTGGAGGGTTGTAACTTGAGTCTCACTGAGGCACACTGCTGACGCTGTTTTAAGGATTTCTTCCGAGACTGGGTTTCCTTTAGGGTGCCCTCTGTATTGCTTCCCCGTGGCTGGGCTAGATGGAAGCCCAGGGCTGCGCTGAGCTGTCCTTGCTGCTCGTTTGATGTCTACGATTTTCACCCTTGCCCACAGGTTCTAGGGGAAGCAAGTGTCATTTATTCAGCTCCGCTAGGAGCCAGGAGCCTGAAGCCCAGCTCACTGCTCTAGGATCCCAAATCACCAAGCCACCCTTTTACTGTTAATTAGTGAAGCAAGGAAAGGCTTTCAGTAAAATGTGAAGTTGGCAAATCAAGGCCGGAATGACCACCAGAGGGGCAAACAAGCCAAGCAGGCAAAATTCAGTCTCTTTATATAGAAAGCCTGTGCCAGTGGACTGGTCAATAAGTAATCTCCCTCAGAATCAAAGGCCAGGACTCCCTGCAGCACCCTCTGCTCAGCACCCATCTTCGTGTGTCTCCCTTTTTTTCCTGCCATAGAAATAACATCTTAGTTATCAAGGCTGGGCAGTAAACCAGAATTTTGTTCAGTGCTTGGAAATATGTGTCTCCAGAAGGCTTCCGAGTATCAGGAGAATGTAGGCATTATATTTGTGCTTACCTGAGAGCCTTGCAGACCTCTTTCAAATGTGCTGTGCAGGACTGAGGAGCCTGTATTCCAGTCAGCATAGCAAGCTGGGACTCCTCAGTGGCGTCTCACTCATGGCTGTTGGAGACCTAGGGGATGCATTGTCCTCAGCAGAGAAAAGCCAGAAGATTGTACTGATGGAATGGTATGTTGACAGGCAGGGAGGATTTGAACAGAGGAGCCAAGGACCTTCTGAGCAGGACAGTGAACACAAAGAGAGAGCTGATGGGCCTGGGGAAGCAGGAATGAGATGAGGGAAAACAGGAGAGCAGCGGCTTTGACATAGAGCCATAAAAGTCAGAGAAAACACTTCAATTTCAGACCTGTGTTGGTATTGTAGTTCTGAACACTAAGGCCTTCAGAACTCACAAGTCACCAGCCTTCCAGGAGAATTCAAGAATTATTTTTAGCTGCAAGGAAATGGGCCTTGATGTGAGCATTTTATGTTTTATTTTTTGAGAGGCATTAAATCTGAGCTTAGTTCATAATCCAGAAAAGCCACTGATTTTTAAATGTGGTCAGCAGTTTGCTTTTGTCCTGTGATAACTTGTAAATGTTGTCTTGTACCATTTCCAGACAAGTTTGCCCGGATAAGTTCCTTTCTCGGCAGATTTGCCCTGGGTAAATACCAGGCCCGTGGGGACAGGTGTTCTGTTAATTTTGTTCGCTGATGCAGTCCTGGCGCAGAGGAGAAACACGCTGAGTGTTTGGATGAATAGGGAGCAGAAATGTTAAAAACAAATGGAAACTTCTATCACTGGTGTGGTGCTGATGTTAAATTAGAATTGTCCTTTTCAGAAAAAAAAAGACCAAAATATTTTAAAAGGTTTTAGTTCTTAAACTTTAATGAAATCATTCATCTATTCAACACATGCTGGTTAAACTTCCATTATTAGTTCTGTCAGCTCTGGGGTAGGCGGTAACTAAATAGATAAAAAAATGGTGGTGACACCTTTAATCCTAGCACTCTGGGGGCACAGGCAGGTGGCACTATGTGAGTTCAAGGCCAGCCTGGTCTACACGATAAGTTCCAGGCCAGCTGGGGCTACAAGGAGACCATTTCAAAAAGACCGAAAACAAAACAAAACAAAAATCCCATCTGGGAGGCTGGAGAGATGGCTCAGTACTCCAGGGTATGTGTTCTCCCAGAGGATCCAAGTTTGGTTCCTGGCACCCATGCGGTGGCTCAGAACTGCCTGTAACTCCGGTTCCTGGGGATCCAGCACCCCTCTTCTGGCCTCCAAAGGCACCAGGCACACGCATACATGTAGACAAGACACTCATCCACATAAAATGAAAAAAATTTAAAATCATCTAGCATAAAGCCTTTTTAGAGTCTCACCCTGAGGGTATTCATTCTCTAATGGAGCAGAAAGACATATAAACAGCAATTTCACAGTGATGGAAGCCTCTGAAATGCCTGAGAACCGGGAGAGGGACTGTTGATTCTTCTGGGGTGTGCGTTAGAGAGTGCAGGAGGGGCTGGCTCAGCATTTAAGTGTGCACTGCACCTGCAGAGGACCTGAGTTCATTCCTATACCCATGTCGGGACAGCTCACAACTACCTCTAAGTCACAATTCAAGGGATCTGATACCCTCTTCTGGCTTGTGTAGACAACTGCGCTCATGGTGCACATGTGTCCACGTGGAAACACATGCATACACACTAATAATCAAAGATAAAAATAAAGATACAGGATGAAGAAAGCATTTACAGAAACAGTTTTTAGGTTAGGGTTTGTAAAACTAAGTAGGAGTCTAGCAGTGGAGGAACCAGACAGGTGCTTACTGACGGCCTTCTGTGTCCTGGGCACAGTAGAGTCCTTCACCTCCCTCATCTGCTGCTGTCTCCTCTGTGAAGCCAGGTCTCCCTTTGCTGGAAGTGGAAACAGTTTATAGCAGCTACATACATGAAAAGGTCATGAATACAAAATCAGGATTCAATAGCAGATCTTAAGAATCTTTACTTTTTCTGTTTTTGAACATTTAAGGTGCAGTTCACTGTAGAGGTGAAGGCACAGAGAAATCAGAGTGTTTGAAACGTAGATGAGCAAGAGCAACAAGAGGCCAAGGAGCTCTTCTCGGAGGTCAGCTGCGGGGTTTGTTGAAGGCCACATGTCCAGAGACACAGTCATTGCAGCCTTGGGAGCTCCTGATAGAAGAATTCCATGAGCATTCCTGAGTCTTCCCCTTTTCCCATTCTGTCTTGTTTTGCTTTTGTTTTTTTAAAATAAGTATTTTATTTTATGTGCATCAGTGTTTTGTCTGCATGTATGTGAGTGCACCTGTGTCATGCAGTGCCTGTGGAGGTCAGAAGAGGGTGTCGGGTCCCCTGGAACTGGAGCTACAGGTGGTTATTAGCTGCCGTGTGGGTGCTGGGAACTGAACCCAGGTGTTCTGCAAGAGCAGCCAGTGTTCTTAACTGCTGAGCCATCTCTCCAACCCTTGCTTTTTTTTTTTTTTAAGATAGGGTTTCACATTGTAGCACTGGCCAGCCTGGGACTCACAACCGCCTGGAACTCCTCCTCCAGGGGGATCCCATGTCTCTGGCCTGTACAGGCACTACATTCACATGCAGACACCCCCACATACTACCCCCACCCCCCACCCCCACATATACACATAGCTAAAAATGATGAAAAATAAATCTTTACATATTAGGGTTAGAAGTGTGTGAGAGTTTGTGTTGATTCCGAACTCTGGTCCTGTGTTTCCCATGCATGACACACATTTTCTAGAAGGGGCAGATTACAAGAACATGCTATTACTGCCCTGGCAGCTGTGCATGCTGGCACGTCACCCTGGCCCGCAGCATTCCTGACAACTGAGGAGTAGGTGCCTATGTAGGGAATACAAAGGCAGTGAAATTCTGGGATTCACTGGTTTTCAGACCTGTTCTGAGAACTAACACTGTAATGTACGTAACACTCGGTACTACGGCTTCTCTTCAGCCTGTGGTGCTTTCTCCCGCCAGTTCGCAGCTTCCTGTTGCAATGTGCAGTTGATGCAGCCTCCTGATACTGAGAAATGCCACGCTCTTCCTTTTGAATTCCTATTCCTTACTGTAAAGCAAGTGAAAATCTTGTTTGGCCAAAAAAGTCATACAATATTGAGATTAATAGCAACAGTTTCCTTTAAGATGAGCATGACCAGCCCCAAACAGCCGGATATTCAGACAAATAGCTGATGTAAAACTTTTTGTGAGGAGAAGGGAATGATAAAATTTGTTTTTTCCCAAACTCTTTTCCTTAACTTTTTCAGGGATTTTTATTTTTATTTTTTTAATTTTAAGCAGAACTTCTGTATTGGATTTATTTTCCTTCCTGATAGCATACTGAGGCGTAAATGAAGTTCCCTTGACTTCACACGCAGCCACGTGTGCGTGTGCTGTGCGTGCTGACAGTTTGTTCGCTCCCTCCCTGTTCATCTGGCAGCACGGTTGACTGCCCCATCCTGGTGGATTCTGACCTGGGTGATGTTTGCCCAGCAGTTGGACAACACCCTCCTCAAGTGAGTCAGGTGTCTGTAGCTTGAGTTCTGTTAGGTTGTTCCTGAGGCCTTAGGGGATGCTGCTCTCTTTTGTGTCTGTGTTCCACCTTCTGGGCCACAAGCTTGGAGAGCATAAAGTCAGCTTCATGCTGGAGACGGAATCACATGGCAGCCAGCCTGTGCCAGCTCCGCTCAAGTGCACAGCGTGCTTTTTTTTTCTCTCTGATTGAACCTGGTTCCTGTGTAGTCTGTCCTTTCTACAGCCTTTTTCCTTTATCTTTCTTTTCCTGTAGCATCAGTAAATAACAGCCAGGCTTCTAACAGTTGCCGTTTTAGTGGTAGCAAAGGCCCATTGTCTAGAGGAGTATGTGTACTCAAACACTCAAAACTTTTCCGCATTAAAATGTGCTTTTCCTGGGCATGTGGGAGTGGATGGGTGGGGCAGAAAAATCTTTTAGTACCTGTTAGTATCGTTCTTTGGAGGGATATGGTCAGCAGGGTGTGTCCTAAGCTACACAGAGAACCTCATTCCACCTCCAGGCTCTGTGGGCTGGCACCAGATTGTTCCCTATTGACTTCAGTGTCCCTGTACTGAGTCCAGGCAGTCACTCTTCATAACAGAGTGTG